AGGGACGGGTAATTGCATTTTGTGAAAGAAGCAAGGAGCATGCACAGAGGGTAGTCACAGCTGCGGTAATGTGTCTCTCGCACGACGGCCCATGCTAGATGGTATAAACAAAGAAAAATGGTGATTTTGAGCATTTTTATTGGAAGGTGTGCTTAGCCTCCAGGTGATGGTGGCTTGGCAAGAAGCTGTTCCCTGGTCTTTTGCTTATCTAGATGTCCTGTCCCCAGCTGGGTTGAGAGCTTTCTGAAGTCACAGTTCTGGGTTGCTGCAGCAGGCCTGAGGACACAGGGCTGGAATTCCAGTGATTCATTCAGAGAGCAGGAGCTTCCTGCAGAAGCCAGCCCCCCCCCCCCGCCCCCAGTCATTTCTTGCTAGCTTCTGAAGGAAGAATAACTTTTGCCTGCTTGCCTGCTTTGCCTTGCTGACTCCCTACAGTCTTTTCTGGGTTCCCCCTCTTCCTGCTGGGAGACCTGGAGTGCTCACCAAGTTTTCTGGGTGCCACTTTGTGTTTCCAGATACCATCTGCCTCTCCAGTCATCCCTGAGGGCTGTGCAGCTGCCCCTGTGTCCTGGTGGAGAAACAGGATGTTTACCTGGTCTCCTGGATCCCTGAGCTTACTCCAGGCTCTGGCCTCTGTCAGGAGGATTTTTCATCCAGCCATTTGCCTGCATATCCAAAGGGATGTATTCTAAAAAAGAATAATGGTATTCTCTCTCATGGGACCTTGTGACTTGGGACCACAAAATAAATCAGCTACTGCTGTCTCCAAAGTCAAGCCTGAGCCTAGACACCTAGCTCCAACAGGGCTCTCCTGCTGGCTCCCTTAGCCTCACGTACTGTGCTGACCACAAGCTTCTCTTAGATATAGGGCAAAGGACACGGATGTGACTTTACACCTAGCCTTCACACCTGCCCCCCTCGGACCATAAAAGGTGACTCCAGGCAACTTACTCAAGCATTATAACCTTTGACCCATCCTTCAAGGTGATGATGGTTCAGTTCCTACAGCAGTCCTTTACAGAAAGGAGTTGAGAGTTCAGTGGAATCCGCCTGCAGGGAACTGGGGAACTGGATAGGCAGGATGTGACCACTGAGTACACTTCTTTCTTTCTTTCTCTCTTTCTCTCTTTCTCTCTTTCTCTCTCTCTCTCTCTTTCTCTCTCTCTCTCCCTCCCTCCCTCCCTCCCTCCCTCCTTCCCTCCCTTCCTTCCTTCCTTTCTTTTGATTTTATTGAGTTATACATTTTTCTCTGCTCCCCTCCCTTCCTCTCCCCTCCCCCCTTCAACCTTCTTCCATGGTCCCCAAGCTCCCAATTTACTCAGGAGATCTTGTCTTTTACTACTTACTATGTAGATTATATCCATATATGTCTATATTAGGGTCCTCATTGTTGTCTAGGTTCTTCGGGATTGTGATTTGTGGACTGGTTTTCTTTGCTTTGTGTTTAAAAACTACTTATGAGTGAGTTCATGTGATAATTGTCTTTCTAGGTCTTTGTTACTTCACTCAATATGATGTTTTCTAGCTCCATCCACTTGCCTGCAAATTTCAAGATGTCGTTGTTTCTTCTGCTGTGTAGTACTCCATTGTGTAAATGTACCACATTTTTTTTTTTAATTCATTCTTTGGTCAAGGGGCATTTAGGTTGTTTCCAGGTTCTGGCTATGACAAACAAAGCTGCTTCGAACATAGTTGAGCACATGTCCTTGTGGTATGATTGAGCATCCTTTGGATATATGCCCTAAAGTGGTATTGCTGGGTCTTGAGGAAGGTTGTTTCCTAATTTTCTGAGAAATCACCATACTGACATCCAAAGGGGTTGTACCAGCTTGCATTCCCACCAGCAATGCAGGAGTGTTCCCTATAACCCACATCCTCTCCAGCATAAGTTGTCATCAGTGTTTTTGATCTTGATCATTCTTACAGGTGTAAGATGGAATCTCAGAGTTGTTTTGATTTGCATTTTTCTGATGACTAAGGATGTTGAGCATTTCCTTAAGTATCTTTCAGCCATTTTAGATTCCTCTGTTGAGAGTTCTCTGTTTAGGTCTGTACTCCATTTTTTCTTTGAATGATCTGTGAACTGAATTGGTGGTGATTGCGCAGTTGTTGGAAGACTGTAACTGCTTCTCTTTCCAGGACAAGTTCTGGCGGTTACTCCGTGATGGTTCTGTTGCTCCATCATGTGTATCAGGCTTTCCTTGGACCACCAGACCCCAAATCATGACATGGAGACATTATTAATTATGACTGCTCGGCCTTAGTTTAGGCTTGTTTCTAGGTAGCTTTTATTTTTATTTTTTAAACTTAAACGAACCCATTTCTATTAGTTCTATTAGAACCCATTTCTGAGCCTTGTTTACCTCATCTATGGACTGTCCATCCTGCTCTCCTGCTTCCTCTGTGTCTGTCTGTCTGGCCCCTGGCTAGCTGGCTCCCAATTGGCTGGACCTGTACTTGCTGACTGGCTCCCCTTTTCTCTCTGCCTGCCAGCTCTGCCTATAGCTCCTCTGCCTAGCTAACAGTTGTTCAGCATTTTTTTTATTAGACCAATCAGGTGTCTTAGGCAGGCAAGGTAAAACAGCAGCACATCTTTACATAGTTAAACAACTGCAGCATAAACAATTGCAATACACCTTTACGTAGTTAAACAAATTGTCTATTCCATAACATTTCTCCTATTTTGTCTAAATAAAAGGAAAGGTTTTAACTTTAATAGTGATGGTTCTGTTGTTCTGTGATGGCTCATACACTATAGTTTTATTCCCTTTCTGACCATGGCTGAATGATATTCTTGTTTTCCTAGGTTTTTTTTTTGTTTTGTTTTTTGTTTTTTTAAATAAATGAGAACCTTAGGCCCAAACAGCTAATTTTTTTTTTCTTTCACCATATGGTACACCCTGGTGGAGGACAATGTTAACTACTCATTCCTAACATCGCAATCTTCAAATTGAATTTGTAATGATTCTAATGAATGAATAAAACACACCTAGCACATACAGGCACGAAGGAGGCACTCAACAAACAGGAATGGCAGCTACCTTAGTCACGGCTGAAAACTGCGTGGCTGTTGGCTGTTGCTTTTTGTGAGACTAACAGTTCGATAAGTGTGAGACAATCCTTGCCAGTGGTCAGTCCTGTGTAGAGGAGGAAGAAAACCACACAGACACTGCACCTGTTGCTCTACCCGCCTCACCCCACTAGGTAACCCTGTCTCTGCCAAGGAAATCTGAAGTGTGGACAAGACTAATTCATGTGCAGAGTTATTAGCATTGGGCATCCAGGTACTGGCATAAGGTGTCGGTCTCCTCCCATAGCTTCTAATGTCAGCAGCCTAGCCCCCCCCCCCCACCAAATGGCAGACGCAGGGGATTTCTAAGCTTCTGTGTGTGCTTGTGGCACTGTGGCTGGCTCAGCTGCTCAGGTGCTCCTCTCAACCCGTGATAAAGGCTCATTATAGCAGTAGCACCGTGATGTGTGTGTTTGGGGGGGGGGCATGACTATGTCCAGCTAAAAGTACATCAGATTCTTTGTAGCTACAGAGTGACCACGTGACCCATTTTGGCCCCTGGTTTGTTAATTTGCTTCGAAAGGACTTGGAGGGAAAGATTTTGCTTTCTGGAGGCAAATGTTGTCCACTTGGGTTCCTTTTTCTTCGTCCCGCCTGGAATGTCAGGGTAATGACTGAAAGAGCTGCAGCTACCTTGGAACTTTACAGCGTGAAGATAGAAGCCTGAAACACAAGGCTTGTGACGCCAAACTCCTGAGTTGTTCCCAGATTGCTGACCCAGACTTCTTCTGCATAAGACCAATAAATCATTATCCTCGAAGCCCTTGCCTGTCAGGCTTTCTCTTATGTGCAGCTGACTGTATTTCTAACTGGCACAGATAGCTTCGGTATCAATGGTCTGCAGACATACAAACTTCACCCTTTGAAAGGGGCTCTGGGTTTTATGGGAAAACAGAGCACATATGAACAGAAAATGAACACAATATACAGTCTTTCTCAGTAAGGAACTGGCTTTTCTAGCTACCGCTTTGTCTTAAATTATGGCATCTGGCCTCCTGTGTCTTTTGATTCTTCAAAAAAATTAATTGAAACAGCTACTCATTGGAAGGAAGCAGATGCTCCTGTGTCCGGATCTGGCTAGGCTCTATTCTCTTCTTCGGCCTGAATTCTTGTCCTGGCTCTCCCTTTTGGTCACATCCCCTGGCTTCCTCCTGGCACTGTTTATCATATAAGCCCATCGCCCAGCAGCTGTGCTTTCAGAAGCAGCTGTTGTTCACCTTGACAGCTATGAATGACTTGACCAAAAGTGAAGAGAGTGGCTAGAGAAGCCAGGGACAGTCAGATTTGCTTTTCTTGGCTCTTTAGAAGGAACTGAATGACCAAAGTGTTCCAGGTTATGGAATTTTCTCTTTCCCCTGCTTGGTGTAGGATCCGGTTTCCTGGATGAAAAAGAGGGACACAGTTTCAGAAAGAGGAACATGGCTTTCAAAAGAGGGACACAGCTTCAGAAAGAGAACTATGGTTATAGAGAACAGAGAGGGATGTGGTATCAGGAAGGATATGGTCTCAAGGAGAGGGACATGGGCTCTAGGAGAGGGGCATGGACTCTGGGAGAGGGTCGTGGGCTCTGGGAGAGGATCGTGGGCTCTGGGAGAGGGACGTGAGCTCTGGGAGAGGGACGTGGGCTCTGGGAGAGGGACATGGACTCTGGGAGAGGGATGTGGGCTCTGGGAGAGGGTCGTGGGCTCTGGGAGAGGGACGTGGGCTCTGGGAGAGGGACGTGGGC